TTCCTAAAGCAAAGCTCATTTTTTTTATCGAATTTTATCATTAATACCAGAATTATCACCAGTTAAAACCTTCGATAAGAACTTCCAAGTTTTAAGCCACTTTACTCGGTACAATGTGTTAAAGTTTAAATGCGACCCTAGCTTTTATCCAACATTTATTCAACACATCTTTACTAATTACTAGTTTATTTATTAACGAACCACTTGTATTATAAAAACATATTCCTTCTCAGTTCCAAGCTTCCATCAAATATTCGTTCAGTGTTTTACGAGGCAACAGGTTGATCTAATTACCGGTTCATTTATTAAAGTATCATTTATATTGTAAAGTTAATATCTTTTTTAGATCCAAGTTTCCCCCGAACATTTATTCACTTGTTCATGAGATGATACGTTTCACAAACTAACAGGTTATTTATTGAAGTGCCTTTTATATTGTAAAGTTATATTCCTTTGCATATCCAAGTTTCCATCAAATATTTGTTCAGTGTTTCAGGAGACGACAGGTTTCACCAAATACTAGCCTTTTTAGTAAGTACTATACTTGTGTTTCATGATTACGTTCCTTTTGATCTTTTACAACACGGCACTCAGATCATTAACGGTGTTTCATAAATTAAAATGTGTTCTCAGATCTAAACTTGTAACGGGTATCACCCTTGTTAATCATTATCAACTTTTTAAAGTGTCATGTATTGTAAATTGTAATCTGTTTTGGATATAGGCTTTCAAAAGTCAATAACTTCTTTATTAGGCTTCGTAAGTGGACTTCTAACATAACGGTTACTTTATTAAGAACCACCTGTCATATGAAATGAGGTTTGCTCTCAGCTTCCACTTAATTCCAGTCTTTTTAGTAAATGCCATGTGCTTTACATGTGTGCTTTTCTCACATTCCTCAGAATCTCTCACTGCTTATTTGGTAGCATTTGTCTTATAAGTTCACTTTCGGCTTCTACTGAATGTCAGCTATTCTGTAATGTCCTACGGGGTGTGTGTAGTGTGGTATCCTGTGCCTGTTGTACTACAACACGTGTACTTGTTCTTTTATGTGTGTGTTTTTCGTGAAATAGTGCCACAATATCTTAATTATTCTAACAGTTAATTTGTGACAGATCTCTAAACGGCTGGATCAATATATATTTTTGGGTTATCTTAGCTGTTGTAGTAAAACACGGCATGTTTGAATGTTGACCGCTTTTATGCTGAAGAAATCGTTCTTATGACTTTTGTTATATGTCTGTTAGAGGAACTGATGCTGAGCCTCTACAAGTCATTTGATGTATCAGTGACTACTTTCCTCCAGGATATGTATTAGTGACAGTGACAGAAAATCCTTTTAATAAATGGAAAATCTCTATGCATATAGATCGGTGTATATACAGTACTCAACGGAAAGGAATGACATTTACCGCAGTTTCAGTGCCTTTAAAATGGAATTAGCTTCTAGCTTCATAACTGTTTGTATATCCAATATCCATCTCTCTTCCTACTTCTGGTTACTATGGCAACCAGAATGATCTTTGTGAATCTTGATAGAACTTGACTGTGTGAATTGACTTCTGTAATATGGCACGATAGTCCCACGTTAGTTCTTTAGGGATATATAACTTTATGAACTAATTGTAATATAAATAGTTATGAACAAATTATTTAAGTTTCTCAGAAAGCATCTAGGTAGACTCTGTAAGCCACACAGTTACAGTTTTTCCCATTGAATATTACATCAGTCGTTTTTGAATGTCGTATTCTTCAAAAAACATAATTGTTTGTTAATCACGTGCTAATCAAGTTCCGTGGTTCGCGTCCCGTTACAGCTAAAAAAGAAACAACTGATAAAAATTTGCTCTCTATATTTGGGGCTGTGAAAGTGTTATAAGAGCGATTGCCAAATCCATATATTTAGTCTGACAAGAGTACCCCAAGCTTTGGGAGTTTGTGGTGTTGACAAACTGTCTTCCCTCTAACCTGTCACTTCAAAATTATGGACGGCTAGTGCATATAGCCATCGTGTAGCTTTGAACCGGGATCTAACGAACAGATAAACAAACAAGTCACCTAATTGTTTCTATACTATGAAATTCACACACACATATTGAGTAGTTCAATATTTTTATCTATTACAACACTCAGGGTAAAGAGATGACCAAAATCATTAGATGGGATCATCCATTGTCTATGTAAAACAGACAAGAGACCCTGGGTAGCAATTAGTAGGGTTAATTTCAATATTTATGGTATTTTTGTTTATATTTTTGGTGTTTGTGCATTATTCATACGTTATCAGGGCCCAGTAGCCAACAAAGTCATGGACACACAAATAATTTGGTGCATAAGTAGTTTAGAAAAAATGTGTTTAAAAATCTGACGAGGTCCATAAGGACCCTGTCGGATTCTAGTGAACTTTCAGTTATGAAAAACCGTTATTATGTATACATTAGTATACGTGTATTGACACTAAACATTTATGTAGTAAATCTGTACTAAATGTTGCTTTTATAGATTATTTAAAATCATAATGGAGATTATAATGGTTGGATCTATATTGAGAGGTCTGGGTATTTGTATTAATCGGACTTATCCGCGATCTTTTAAGCTACTACTACTGCTAGTTCTGTAATAGTCGTGTTAAACATCGTGAGGTATTGGCAAACATACATATTATACACACATACATAAACTACATATTTCGATGCATTACAACTTTTTTTATTGTATACTGTTAAACGTCAGCTTCCTTTAACAACTTTGGTTTTTAAAATTTTATACAAATGTCGTTTTAACTGTAATGGGTTATCCGGCTGACAAAAAGTATACATAGATGACTTTATACGAGTTTTACAGACTTTGTCGGAAGATGCTGTCGCTTTGTGAATGGCAAAATACGTTTTTGAGGGTGAGGAGGATAAGTGGGTGAAGAGGATAATTTTAATTATTTCGCAGATACTTTTTAGTTAATTTAGTTTCGAAAAAAAACCCTGTAATTTGGAGTTCGACTGAACATTTTTGTAATCAAATATTTAAAATCAGTTAGAACCATCTTCTTAGACGGCAATTTTCAATGTAACAAAACTTAGTTTTCTGTAAAGGGTGTTAAGATCTAATAGTGTTTCCAAGAGATTAAGCATTACACGAGTATATTTGTTTTGTTT